GTGTTAGAATATGCGGAACACTTGGATCATTCTCACTGTCTGTGGACGCTGCTGTGAGGATGGCTTATTTATTTGAAAGCTCTGTTTCCTTTCAGAGAGTCTTAATGTCTTTTTCACTGTCTTCCAGGTTCTCATATTAACTAATATCATGCTGGGTATTTATCTCTTTGGATCCTAATTATTTTCTGTTATCCTCAACATGGAATGGAATTCAATTAAATGATCATTTTGGAACGCAGAAAGACAATTACATTTGAAGTAATTATTTTGGATCATGTTGGAGACACCAGCCATCCTTAAAACAAAAAAAAAAAAAATGAACACTGTTGGAGGAAGTCTTTGACATATATGAAACTATGCTCTTCATTCAATATATTGTCCCATTTCCGTAAGTTATAAAGTTGTAAATGTTGTAGTATATGTGACACAAATTGGTCGCAGATTTTTACCAGTCCCAGCGTTCTTATTACCAGAACGTGTTCTGAGGGAGCAGATTAATTGAATGTTCCATCTCTATCCTCTTGTCTTCCCCAAAAACCAGCCTAATCTTCCTTGGAGAAGTAAAGCGTACAAAAAATGTTTTACCTATTTTTGTACATTTATGTAGTTTTAATAAAACACACATTTTCTTTAATATATGTATTTTAATGAAGACAGATGTCACTGGTGCTGGGTAAGTGCACAAGTCAGGACTGGATTAGTCCTTGCTTGGTAAAATGAACCTGAGTAGTGTTATGTAAGTGCTGGTGTGCTGTGTGCAGTTGTTTTTTGGATGCTCCCACTTTTTAGTGGTTGAAATTATTTAATGGTTTCCATTATTTCTTAGCTCTTCAGCTGTGGTTTTAATACAGCACTTCATCTTACATTTGGATATGCTTGGTTTTGCATAAAGCTATGCATAATATAGTTTTAATTGCTTTTAAATAATTTTATACAAGTTCTGCTGCTTTATTTTTGTTTCAGCAGATGCCATTACAGTCCAAAATTAACAATTCTGTATTCTGTGACAGCACTTTGTACATCCCTGGAGCATACTGCTCCTCAGACTATTCTGAGTTTCATTCCTCTGTTATTTTTTTCCAAACTTCTGCTGTCTTTCCAGAGTTACCTTTTCCTGTTCCATTAATTTTGTATGGGCAACAAGATTCTAACTTGCTTTGATACAGGTAGTCAGTTAAACTTTTTTAATTTAACAACAAACTGCTCCTGTTGAGAAAAAGTTGAAATTTTCCCTGATAAATAGCATTTTCAGGGCAGTGAGAAACCTGTGAAAAAAGTATCAAGCTTATAATCTTTGGCTTACTTTTTTGTTGTTGTTGTTGTTCTTAGTTTACAGTTGTTTGTTAGCATTTGTTTATTTTTAAAATGGTTACCTGTGTTATATGCCATGGTGGACATAGCAGCAAACTTTCTATGTAAGTTGAAATCTAGGGCTGAAGACTGGAAATGGTGGTAACCCTACTGGATAGTAGACTTCACTGTTCGTGAATTCCTTTTTTTTTTTTTTAATTGAAAAAAGTTGAGTTCTGCCTCTGCTTTTGAAGAAACATAAGAACAGGGCGGAAGACAAAAAGGAATTATCCACTAATGAAAGGTTTTAGTTTGATGTTTGGGATTGGCGGGGGGGAGTTGTTCTCGGTCCAGGATGTTGGTGAAGGGGTCTGTGTAACAAGTTCAGTACCTGACCTAATAAAGTTTCTTTCTGTGCCTGTAGAGAAAGCTCAGTTGATCTAACAAAATAATGAGCTTTTGGAAAATGTGAATAGCTCGTCTAGGTTTGTTGCAGGCTTACCCAGGCTACTAATCAGCAAAAGCAGGATGAGTTACTTCTCCCATTGATTTTCGTTATTTGACCATCTTAGTAATATCGTTTGAGCCAATAAAATGCAAATTCTTTAAAGCACATGTGGATCTTCTTTAATCTCACTTGTTCTAGTAGCTACAGGAGATTAAGTGTTTCTTGATTCATGGAAGAAAGATCTTTTTAATGATCTAAAAAAAGCCAAAGTCCCAGTTATAGCATGTAGATGTAGTATATGTGTGTATTTTTTGCACATCAGTAATACCATACAGCACTTAAATTTTGTTGCCTGGATTTTTCTGTCAAGTAAGAAGGTCACTTCGGAACTGCTGCATCTGTGACTAGATCTGAGTGTGTTTTGTTTAAAATAAGTGTTGAGGTCTTCCTTTCTCAAAATAATGCATATTCCTTATAATTTCTGAAAAGTGGAGTCGTGGACTGTGTAAGCTCATGTCATTCAGGGGTTGATAATCAGGAAGATTGATCCTGCTGATAGCCTGCACGTTCTTTGTTTTTCATACTTCCACGAGCAAGAGATAGATGTGTCTGAGAAGCTCTAAATTCTTTTGCACTTTAATATTCGTTGTTTGTCAGAAAAAGGGTGTTAGTGACTGTTAGCAACCATTCTACAGGTTGAAAAAGCTTTGCTTACTGTAATCTTAAAAACCTACCTGTATAAGACTGGACTACTACTGCAGAGAGGTGTCTCCATGGCTATAGTTGCATGATTCTGTTGCTTCCCTTGTTTCTCAACATCAACAATCAGTCAATCACACACAGTTGTTTTGCCCAGAGCATGGCTGAAAAGTAGTTTATTATATGACCACTTATTTCTTGGTACTGATGTGGTGATGATGAGAAGAAACCATTGCAAGGGACTGAGAGAGCCAAAATGTCCATTTCAGCAGCAGCACAATCATAAACTGATCGAAGCAATCAAAATGTGAAGCTACTCGCTAATTTTTTTTTGTCCTGGATGTACATATACATACAGAATTTATGGTCATAGAAATACGTAGCCAAGTCATATTTGACATACATATGGTTAAACGTTTTATACATGCTCTTACAAGAATAAACAGATAATTCCTTTCTCTTTCTTAGTCCATTGGGAACCTGAGCTGTGCTCTGGTTCTGGTAGCAGTATTTACTTGATCTGTCTTGAAATTTAAAATTTAATCTGTGATATATATTGTTTCTCCTGATAGCTGATTTGCGTTAGCTAAATGCCTGAGTGATAACTTGTGTATCTCTGGCTTGTGGCAGGATGAAAACAAAACAGTTTCTACACCTCACTTGAAAAATAGCTCTTACAGGATGAAGAATAAAAAAATAGCTATTTGCAGAAACCTGAGAGATCTTTTTATCTTTGCAGAATTGTTTTTCAGCTTTTCATTTCAGATGCTGTGTGAAGTGTACCACAATAGTTCTTAGGGAAATTTAAGCTTTCTCATGAAGCATACTGTGTTTTGACAGGTATTTCAGCATAGTTCTAAGGCTGAACTCCTACTTAATCTCCAGCTATTTGTACTGACTTGCTGAGAATGAGAACAAGATTAATCAACAGCATGTAATGTGGTGCTTGAACACTCAAGATGATGCTACCTTTTTTTTTTTCTTGTGTAGGAAATCAAAGGCAAATACAGGAGTTACAAAACAGACACTGAAATGAATGTCAGCTAAATTATTATGAAAGAGAATGCTTATCTATAAATCTTTCAGACAATTGCATAAGTTCTCCTTTTTCTCTTAAAACTCTAAAGTTCTGTTGATAATTCAAATGGAAGGTCTCTTGAGGGTGGAGGAGGAAATCCCTTAAATCGGTTTATGGAAGTGCCTTGAAATATGACTGGATCATACAAAGTAACTTGCTAAGCTCAAGTTCCTTAGTTGTCAGCCTTCTTTGCAGAGGTCTTTGTAGCAGACAGACTGGGAGAATTAGAACTTAATAAAGTGAGTTGTGCCATAATTGTCTTGTATAATGCTCTGTGGAGAAGCATGTGAAGTTTACATAAGCTTATTGGACTATGTGTGAATGAACAAAGATTCATGCTGACCTTTAAGACACTGATAATGGGATGGCTGGGATGGGTGGCTCTTTCTTACATCCTGATAAGCATGCTTATCATATGCCTTAAGTAAAAGCTGTAATTTATTGTAAGGAAGTAAATGTGTTCAGAATTTAATTCCTGTTAAAATTTTGTTCTCTTTGCAGTCTGCAGCTTGCAGTGACTGATTGCAGGCTAGTACCATTGTCTTTAGCCAGTTCTTTTCTCTTGATACTCTGGAGTCTGTGTTGGATTCTTTTTTAGTCCTAATTCCTCTCCTACCCACCCCGCCCCACCTTCCCTCACCCTCCAAAAAAGTCTTCAGAATGCTGTCTTAAACCTCTTTTATTTGTCTCTTTAGTCAAATATGGAAATAGCTTAATAAGAACCATACTGTTAATGAATTAGCAAACCCAGAGCAGGATTGGTGGCAGCCCATCAAATCAGTGACTTGTGGTAGAAAAGCCTTCTGTTACATTTCATTACAAGTAGGAAATTAAAATATAATATCCTTGGACATATATAAACTTGTGCCAGGGGAAGGAGAGTCAAAAATAGCAATGTGCATGTTATTGATCCCAGAGAACAGGCATCATGATGTCAGTCTGAATTTACTGAAATGGAAAGACTTTCAGGGAGAACTAGATAGCATCAGGAGTGAATCCCTACCACTCTTTACTTCCAGTGTTTGAAAAGGATTTTCATTATTTTTTGACTTACAGTTGTAACACTGTATTCAAATGAGTCATGTTTTGACTTGGTAAATCTACCTGGTTTGTAATTTATTTTTTCTTGGGTTTTTTTTTTTTCCTACCCAGCTTCCACAGCCTGACTGTCTCAATAGTTGGAAATATTACATGCAGAGACTGATTTGATATTCCATTTGGCATTTCCTATATTATAATTTTCACCTTTTTCGTGTTGCCTAAATTTCTGTCCTTTCCTTAAAGTCTTGACTACAGGAACCTCCTATTTATAATACTGTGCTTTGAAGTGAAATATTTTGTTAATGTTCATGTTCTTTCTTCTTCATCACATCAAAATACTTGAAGTACAGAACAATAATGATATGATGTGTGAATATAAAAAGCTGTTAATTAAAATGGTATAGTTTCCAGTTTGATGCAGTGTATTTTTTTGTTATGCTGTAGGTCTGTCAAATGGTTTTGGAGATGAAAGTAAAGAGAGAGCATTAGATGATACTCCAGGAAGAAAAGTTGAACCTCGTCGCCGCTGTGCATCAGAATCTAGTATTTCATCTAGTAACAGTCTTTTGTGTAACTCAAGGTAAAATTGTAAATCTGACATATAAATTTTAAATTGACTATGTCAGTTTTCTGTACTGCTTGTGACCTGCATTGGAGGATTGCATAAATTTTAGGAAAAAAAGAGTGCATCTCAGTTTTCTCACTTGTGTGTCAAATCTGAGACACTTTTCAGGGTTGCTAGTATTCTTTTGTTGAATTTAGGTTATTGCAGATCCAGGCAGTTACACTTTAAACTTAACTCTGCTTCTCTTGCTCTGTATAGATACATATACATGCTTGTGTATATAGTGTCTTGTTTTAATTAACTTCCTAGTCCTGAACACTAAAAATAGGTGTGTTTATTTTAGTGAGGGGAGGAGAGAAGCAATTTCCAAAGCAGTGTCTTGTACACAGGGAAGGTAGATTCAGTACCTGTGAAACTGTAGTTTATCAGTCTGTGATTTGGATTACTGGCTAGTTACTGCAGTGATGAGGTACCCATATACCAACTATTGACCTTCTCTTTGTGAAGTCTGTTGTTAAAGATAGGACTGTCAGAATGGTCACCTCTGCCACCAATTAAAAATATTTCCCCATCACCAATGGTGCACATCTTTCAAAACTATACTAATCTTTGGGTAAAAGGTGGTTGTCTCCAGTCCTGGGCTATGAGCATGGGGTATACACAAGGATAGGGTAAATATTTTTTTCTTTCTTTTTTTTTTCTTTTTTTTTCTTTTTTTTTCTTTTTTTTTCTTTTTTTTTTCTTTTTTTTTCTTTTTTTTTTTCTTTTTTTTTTCTTTTTTTAAAGAGTGGCAGGGTTTTTTTTTTTTTTTAGATTTTTTTTTTTCATGTGTTCAAGATAGGTATTAAATTGTTTAAGGTAATACTGTTAATGCGCTCATGTCAAACAGGCCTTCAGAAACAAAGATAATTTAATTTTGCATCTCTTGGAAATATGATACATTGAGGATTTGATCTAGAATAATTGCTGTTCATATTCTTTGAACTCTTAAAGAAAACTCAGGTCTGCAGAGAAGAAAATTCCTATTTTTTGTATAGACATTCCACAACTGAAAGACTTGAATTTGTAGTGAAAAGTGAAAGAGAAAATAATTGTGTTTCCTATGTAGTGGAACTGTTGGAGCAGAGGGAGCACATTTCTCTTTGGCCAGTATCTACTGCAACACTGGAGACAAAGCAGCATCTCTCATTTGTACATGTATACCCTGTACAGCAGCTGAGGTGCAGTTACATACTGTTTGTCTCTGATAACCAGGCAATTCTGTGCATGAAGATAATCTGGGGTTTTAGCTTTTATATAGTTGTTTCAGTTTATCATATAAAATTTCTTGAGAGCTTGCTGCTCTGATTTTACTGTGTACTGATAAATTTTAAATTCTTTTTTCAAAGTCTTGATTTATAGTGAACAATGTTAATTATCAAGTAATGGTTTTAATACTTTCGTAGTTTCAGCCTACCAAAGTGTGGTAAAGGTAAACCAGCACTTATACGAAGACACACACTGGAAGACCGAAGTGAATTGATATCATGCATTGAAAATGGAAACTATGCCAAAGCAGCAAGAATTGCAGCTGGTAACTATAAACAATTATGTTCTTAATAATATTGTATAACTGTAATTTTGGGCATTTATTTGACAGATTCTAACACTCTTATTTTCGCTGCTAAAATAGGTCGTAAGTGTTCTGAAAGTGGTGTTGACAGCATTGCAGAACCTACTGTTTTCTGCTTTTGACTCTGAAGACTTTGAAGAGAAAAAAATTGTACCTGGTTTCGGTGTTTTGATAAAAAAAGTGATATTTAAAGTGATCAAGCTACTCTAGTAATACAAGCAAATCTTGGACTGAAGTACTATTTATGGTTCTGTCAATATTTTGGCAGGCTTTTTGGTTCAGGGTTTACTCCTCAAATACTGTTCTGCATAAATGCGTTGACAAAAGGTGAAGACGTGGTCTACTTTGATTCAGGAAAAAATTGAAATTTGAAAGAAGTGGGAATTTCTAGGAATGTAGAGGATAATAACTTACCAAATTTTAGGGAAATAACTATGTTTTGGTGATACATTTTCCACCTGTTTCAGTATTTTAATTTCATTACAAGATTTAAGTAGGTCATCTCTTCCATAAGTAGAACTGTATTTGTATAATGCAGTGCTCCCATGCTGAAGCTAGGCATCAGCCTTGCAGTGCCTAGCAGGCCTGTCTGTAGTTTCTGGCCTTACAATTCTTCACCCTCCCACCCTGGTGTTCCTTGTCCGGAGCTCTTCCATGTCTTTCTAGTGCTTTTCACTGACTCTTTGTTTGCCTTGGTCTGTTCTTTCCTCCCCATATGATCAGTTTTGTTTTTCTTTCTTGCAGCTGATCTGTTCTCAGCTGCTCCTTCATTACTCTTGGGTTCAGTATCTTTATCATCTGTATGGTAACCTCTTGTACAGGACTTAACTTTTTCTGTTTACTTTTCTTAATCTTAGCAAGTCTTGGGCAGTCTTATATTTAATACAGTTGGAATTCCTGTCTTTGTTTTTCAGAACTCTCCTTGATCTCTTTTAATTCTGTCTCTATTCTCGGATACATTCTACAGTTGCCTGAAAGGAGGAGCAAATGACATTTAATAGCA